GAGAGTGGATCCACTAGCAGTCGAACGAGTGTCGTTGGCCACCTGTCCAGCCAACTCCTTCAGCTTCACCGCGGTAGTGTCGGCTTGGGTCTGCAGTCTCTTGATGACGTCGGATTCTCCTATATTTGCCAGTGCGTCGCTCATCACGTCCGTTGTGGCCTGCACGCTAGCCAGCTGCTCGGCGAGAACTTCGAATTTCTGATGATGCGCGAAGACCTCTTCCCTGATGGCCTTCATGTCGCCAAGGTGGCCCTCGACCTGGGTCATGCGCGTGCCCAGTCCCTCGATGCCCGAGGGTATGCGAGCGAGCGTGTCATCACCAGGAGCCATCGCTGCGCTGCCCGCCATGTGGCCGCTCACAAAATGAGGCGGCTGGGGAGATGGAGTGTCCGCCTGGGTCTGACCCCAAATTGCCTTCTGAAGAGAGCTGCCGCGCTCAAAAGGGGCCTGTCCCCAACTTGAGCCAAAATGGCAACGGAGGAGGAGGAGGTGGTGGAGGAGGAAGAAGAGGAGGAGGAGGAGGAGGAGGAGGAGGAGGAGGAGGAAGGAGGAGGAGGAGAGGAGGAGGAGGAGGAGGAGGGGGAGCAGGAGGAGGAGGAGGAGGAGGAGGAGGAGGGAGGAGGAGGAGGAGGAGGAGGAGGAGGAGGAGGAGGAGGAGCTGCTTTCCGCGCCTGGCCTCGGTCGCCCGCTGCCCGCCCAACTTGGGCGCGGCCTCGCTCCCCGCCGCCCCGCGCAACAGCGCGAGCAAACATATAGGGGTTTCAAAACCGTGTGGCGACAGACCGTGCGGTGACCTCGGAACCCCCCAAGACCTCCTCCTCCTCCTCCTCTTCCTCCTCCTCCTCCTCCTTCTCCTCTTCCCCCCGCACGGTCCGTCACCACACGGATTTGGGACCCTGGAAGCCCCAGTCGCCCGAGACGTCCTCGGAGAGCGACCCGAGTCCCAAAACCGTGCGGTGACCCCGAATCCCCACCGACTCACCACTCGGCGTGGTCACCACCCCGTTTGGGGCCTCCCGAACCATGCAACACCGCACAACATGACGGCCGGAACTTTGGACCCCAGCTTTCTGCGCAGCTCTGTGCGCCGCCGGTCGACCTGCAGGGGGGGCCCGGGGCCACGCGCGCGGGCGAAACCGCCTGGCGTGAGCACACTGCAGCGCCCGGATCTCGCGGTTCGGCGCGGCCCCCCTCCTCCTCCCCCCGCCCTTCGCCCGCTGGTTTCTGGGCCTGGCCTCGGTCGCCGGTTGCCCGCCCAACTTGGGCGCGGCCCCCGACGTTGTGACTTCTTCGCGACGTCGACCCCCAAAGGTCTGGACCCCTTCCCTGGGATCCGTTTTTTCATCCCGAGTTGTCTTTGACGGCCCCGAGGGCCTGTCGGGGCCCCTGGAGGCCGAAAATGGCGAAACACCTCCCGTCGTGATGTTTTCACTGCGCGAGGGGGTCTGCGCTTGGCGCGGCCTCGCTTCCCGCTGGCATGCGGACTTGACGCGGACCTGGCGTGGATTCGACGCGGATTCGACACAGATCCGGCACGGCTCCGACGAGTCCGACGTGGATTCGGCACCGGCTCGGCGCGGACGGGGCCGAGAGGGGACAGGCAGGGTCCCCCGAGGATGCAACACGCCCAGACCCCCGACGTCGTGTTTTTTTCACAGCGTCGACCCCCAGAGGTCTGGACCCCTTTCCCGGGACTGGTTTTTCGTCCCGAGTCGTTTCTTGACGGTCCCGAGGCCCGGTGAAGGCCACTGGAAGCCGAAAATTAGGAAAAACCTCCCGTCATGATTTTTCCCCACATGCTTCGTGGGGTTCTGGTTTTCTTATTTCCCGCGTCGCACCCGCGTCTCCTCCTCACCCCTCCTCCTCCTCGTCCTTCTCACACAGCACAGCGCAGCACAGCTCAGCACAGCACACAGCACATACACATACACATACACACATACACAAGCAACAAGTACATATTCAGCACAGCACACACACAGCACAGCACAGCACAGCACAGCACAGCACAGCACAGCACAGCACAGCACAGCACAGCACCGCACTGCACTGCACAGCACAGCACAGCACGCCCCGCAGGGGGTGAGGATATTTCGCTGGCAATTTCAATTTCCTCGACACCACAGGGGGGTGCGCTGGGGGTGGTCTCCCTATCCGTTGCGGGCTCGCAAAGCGTGGCAGGCGTGGCACTTCCTCGACACCACAGGGAGTGCGCTGGGGGTGGTCTCCCAATCCGTTGCGGGCTCGCAGGGTGTGGCAGGCGTGGCATTTCCTCGACACCACAGGGGGTGCGCTGGGGGTGGTCTCGCTATCCGTTGCGGGCTCGCAAAGCGTGATTGGTCTCCCTATCCGTTGCGGGCTCGCAGAGCGTGGCAGGCGTGGCATTTCCTCGACACCACAAGGGGTGCGCTGGGGGTGGTCTTCCTATCCGTTGCGGGCTCGCAAGGCGTGGCAGGCGTGGCATTTCCTCGACACCACAGGGGGTGCGCTGGGGATGGTCTCCCTATCTGTTGCGGGCTCGCAGGGCGTGGCAGGCGTGGCATGTCCTCGACACCACAGGGGGTGCGCTGGGGATGGTCTCCCTGTCCGTTGCGGGCTCGCACAGCGTGGCAGGCGTGGCATGTCCTCGACACCACAGGGGGTGCGCTGGGGGTGGTCTCCCAATCCGTTGCGGCCTCGCGAAGCGTGGCAGGCGCGGCCGCTATCCGAGCCCGTCGTCCAGGGCGTAGCAGGCGTGCCGTTTTCCTCGACACCATAGGGGGTGCGCAGGGAACGGCCACCAACATCATTCTCACATGCTTCACTTCAGCTATCATCACTCCAGCCATCATATAAGTATGTGGGAATTCCGCGGCAGCGTAATTTCACAGCGCGAGGGGGTCTGGGTGGTAAAGCTGAGCAGCCAGCCCAAAGGTACCCTTGCATCCTTGCCTCCTCGGTCCATCCCTTGGCCGCTTTCGCTGGCCGCGCCCCGCTGGGAAAACTTGCCGCCTCGCCCGGCGCCCCTGGCCCGGGTGCCCTGCCCGCCCTTCATGGGCGCCCCGCCGCGGCTCGCCGCCCCCCCCCGGCTGCCGTGCCGGCTGCTGCCCCGTGCTGGCGGCGCGCAGGCCCCGAGATTACGTTGGGCCTGTCCCTCTACAGGAGAAATACTCCCAAATAGTCAAACGTAATCTCATGTTTATTCCTACAAGAAATACAAAACGAAATAAAGCAAACCAAGCATGACAGATACCGTTTTTGCATAGTTTTGAACATCTGTTGTTTTTTTTGGGATTCGCCAGAAAATTCCCCTGCAGGATGACACGTCCGACCTAATCCTGAGATCCTGGCGTTTTTGTTTGTCGAGCTGGGCGTTTTCGTCTCTTTTCGGGCCCCGTTACCCTCACATTTCGATACGGCTTAAAAAATGACGCAGAAAGATGGGGTCCAGGGCTCAGGGTTTGATTCTTGCGATGCTGCAGATGTGTCGCTACGTCGCATCTCAAGGGAGGGGGGTCTACCGAGGGGGGCAGGCTTCCTGGCAGGAGGCTGCTTCTTGGACGGCGCGGGCCTTACGTCAACAGACAAGGCCCGCGCCCTCTGAGAGGGAGCCTCCTTCCAGGAAGCCCTCCCCCCTCCCCCTGCACCCCTCGGCGCGCCGCCAGCCGTGCGGGGGCCACCTTTCTCCCGGCCTTTCTGTGCGTGTGCGGTTTTGTGCTCGTGCCTTTTCCTCTGAGCTGTGATGTTCGAGTAGGAGATCGACTACAAAGTTGATTCGCCCCTGCATTGATTTTCTGCGAGAAAGCCGTGGGATGCTCCGTGCATCTACTGAGCATTCTACATGACTCTCGTAGCTTCGATGAGGAGATCAATTTCGGGGTGCATCAATTCTGCAGTCGATCCACTATCCCAGACCCCCGACGTCATGATTTTTTCATGACGCGACCCCCAGAGGTCCCGACCCATTCCCCGGGATCGGTTTTTCGTCCCGAGTCGTTTTTTGACGCTCCCGAGGCCCGGCGAGGGCCCCCGGAGGCCGAAAATGGCGAAAAACCTCCCGTCGTGATTTTTTCACGACGCGAGGAGGTCTGGGATTCGAGATGTGACAAGCGGGCTCCGCTTCCCAGGGGCCGTCTGCTCTTTCGCTTTCTGGGCCCTTCTGTGGCGGCCCCATGGGGCCCTGCGACGGCCGGCCCCCCGCCGCCGAAGACTGCGAGAGAGACCTGCGCCCCCCAGGTCTGACGCTGCAGAACCATGCAGCATCTCAAAAAATCACGCATAACCCAGACCTCCTCGCGTCGTGAAAAAATCACGACGGGAGGTTTTTCGCTATTTTCGGCCTCTGGGGGGCCTTACCGGGCCTCGGGAGCGTCAAAAAACGACTCGGGATGAAAAACCGGTCCCGGGGAAGGGGTCTGGACCTCTGGGGGTCGCGTCGTGAAAAAATCATGACGTCGGGGGTCTGGGAACATCGCGATAAAATCACGACCGGAGCTTCAGACGTCACCTTCCCGCATCACTCTTCGAGCCGGAGGGTCCGGGGGCCCGAGAAGCCCGGCGAGAGCGCCGGGTGTGAACACATCGGAGCGCCAGGACCTTCGGGAGAGGCCCTCGCCAGCGCTCGTCCCCGGACATCCGATGCCTTGTTGTTTTCTCAATGCTGGGTCTTTGGAAGTCCCTAGGGCTCCCAACTTCGCGCTTCGCGCTGCGCGAAGCGCGAAGCGCGAATAACTTCGCGCTCTCGCGCCGCCCTCCCAAAGGGAGGAAAGGAGGACGAGGAGGAGGGGGAGAAGGAACGAGGACCGCGAAGCGCGAAGCGCGAATAACTTCGCGCCCCGACCCTTTCCTCAGGGCCGGCTTGTCGCCCCGAGTCGTTGTGGGACAGCCCCAGGGCCTGGAGAAGGCACCCACGGGCCGAAAAACAGCCCACAACGATCCGTCCCTGAAGCCTGACGGCGCGAGACAGATTGAAACATCGCAGAAAGTTGCGACTGGAGCCCTAGACCCCTGTCTCTCTGCGCCAGTTTCCGAGTTGGATCGATCTGTGAGGGCTCTAAAGGCCGAAACTCGGCGAAACCGCCTGGCTCGAACCGTGTGAAACGCCAGGATCTGAGGTGCTGCGACTTTTTGTAACGGCGCGAGCATGTCTGGGCTCAGCGCCCCTCCAGCTCCATGTCGCGGGGGTTGCTACAGGTACCCCTGGCCCAAGGTACTCCTAGCTCCCCGCTCCACTCTGGAGACTCTGGGGCCCTCTGGGCATCGTGAGCGGTGCTCTGGGGGCCGTAGGGGCCTCCTTGGGGATTCTGGGGGCACTCTGGGCGGCTATACACACAAGAGAGACCCTAGGCAAGAGTGACCTTGGGTGCGCGACGTGCGGGGGCCGCGGGGATGCCAAACCCGAGCGCGCACGACGCTGCCGTCGTACCACGCTCAACCACCTGGGGACCCCAGAGCGCCCGCACAGTGACCAAAAGGCACCTCCGGCGAACCCAGACCCCCGACGTCGTGATTTTGTTCGCAACCTCGACCCCCAGAGGTCCAGACCCCTTCCCCGGGACCGGCTTTTCGCCCCGAGTCGCTTTCGGACGGCCCCGAGGCCCGGTGAGGGCCCCCGGAGGCCGCAAATTCGGCAAAACCTCCCGTCATGGTTTTTTCACTCCTGAGGGGGCCGGTAGCCGACCTGGGCCCGGGGCACTCCCAGCAACACCCGACATGTCGGCGGGCGCGGGCGGCGCCGGCTGCGCTGGCGCGGCCGGCCCCGCAGGCGTCGCCAGCTCCACCCACGCCAGCGGCGACGCCCGCTCGGCGTCGTGCCCGGACCAGAAGCTCACCGCCCCGTCGCCTGGGAGGCAGGGCCGCTCCTGGCCCAGAGATCCCCAGACCCCCTCGCGCGGTGCAAAAATCACGACGGGGGGGTTTTCGCTATTTTCGGCCTCTGGGGGCCCTCGCTGGGCCTCGGGACCTTCAAAAAACGACTCAGGACGAAAAACCGGTCGTGGGGAAGGGGTCCAGACCTCTGGGGGTCGAGGTTGCGAAAAAATCACGACATCGGGGGTCTGGGCCCAAGGCTCCGCGAGAATTTGGCCACGCGCAGAAGGGGGTGGAGGGAGGGGGGACGGCTTCTTAGAATCCCTCCTGCTTCTTCGAAGGCGCGGGCCTTGTGTTGAGATGTAAGGCTAGCGCATTCTGAGAACCAGCCTCCTCCTACGAAGCCTCCCCCCCTCCCCCTACCCCCCTCTGCGCGCCGCCAGAGAATGGGACCGGCCGGTTTTTGGCGGTTTTCGGCCTCCGGGTGCCCTCAATGGGCTCCGGGACGGACAAAGCACGACGCAAAAGCAGTCCCAGGGAAGTGGTCCAGACCTCCTCCTCCTCCTCCTCCTCCTCCTCCTCCTCTGCTCCTCCTTCTCTGCTTCCTCCTCCTCCTGCTCCTGCTCCTGCTCCTGCTCCTCCTCCTCCTCCTCCTCATTCTTCCCTTCCTCCTCCTCCTCTCTCCTCCCTCCTCTCTCTCCTCCTCCTCCTCCTCCTCCTCCTCCTCCTCCTCCTCCTCCTCCTCCCTCTCCTCCACCCCTCTTGCCTTCATGGAGAGAGCTGCTCCCTGCCGCGCCCTCGGACGCGTCGGCCGGGCGGGCCGGGCGCTTCGCCGGAGGCTCTCCCACCACGTCGTTGCCCCGAGGCCGCCCGTCTGCGACGACCTCCCGGCGGGAGGGCCTGGGCCGCCGCCTCTCTCTATCGGAGCAGGGCGCGCCGACGCCTGGGCCTCCCGCGGGCTCGCTCGGACGCCCGCAGGCGCCTCGGGGTGCTCCTCGGCAGCTTCGCTGCGCCTCGTCGAGGGCGTTCGGGCCGGCGCCTCAGGCTGGTGCTCCTCGGCAGCTGCGCCTCGTCGAGGGCGTTCGGGCCGGCGCCTCAGGCTGGTGCTCCTCGGCAGCTGCGCCTCGTCGAGGGCGTTCGGGCCGGCGCCTCAGGCTGGTGCTCCTCGGCAGCTGCGCCTCGTCGAGGGCGTTCGGGCCGGCGCCTCAGGCTGGTGCTCCTCGGCAGCTGCGCCTCGTCGAGGGCGTTCGGGCCGGCGCCTCGGGGTGCTCCTCGGCAGCTGCGCCTCGTCCGAGGGCGTTCCGGGGCTGGCCGGGTCGTCCCCAGCGGTCCCTGGAGGGCTGAGTTATGGCCCGACAACAGGCGATCCGATGGTTTCAGCCGATCCCTGACTTCCGATCCACCGATGCCTCAGGTACATCTCCAATGCATCGGTTTTGCATCGGCGATGCGGCGCGATGCTCCGACCCCATCTGGGAGGCCTCTACTTGTTCAAACCGGGCGCTTTTCCTAAACTTCACCCTGATGTCGGATCCGCCGTACTTTGGTTGATTTTCTAACTGAAGCCTGTGTCATGAATGCACCAAAACGTAGCGCGGAATTTCCGCCACAGAAAAAATAGGGCGGATAGTTCCGCAACAAAATAAGGCCGAAGCAACGACGGCAAGGAAAGGCGGACATCGACATCAAATGAGCCTCAAAAGTAGGGCGGGAATTCCCGCCGTACTTTCGACACCGCCCAACGTACGGCGGATCCGAAGTCAGGGATGCCGATACGGCAGGTTCGAGTCGCGTCGACTTCGGCGCTGGTTCCTGACGCCGACCTCGAACGGTCGGCGTTTCTCGATCGCTGTCAAGTATCGGCCGATTCTTTGGGCCTTGCCAGAAGCGCCCTTGGCCCAAGGTGCACCCGAATTCCCAAGGAGGGCCCCCCCCCCCCCCAACGGACCCCAGAGCCCACTCTCGAGGCCAAGGGGGCCCGAGAGGCTCCAGAGTGGAGCGAAAACGCTGGGGGACCTTGGCCCGAGGGCGCACGCCGGTCGGAAGAAGCGGGCAAAACCACGAAGCAGGAAGGCGTTGGAAGTAGACTGGGTTTCCGCCCGCCCCCTGAAGACGAAGGACAACGGAACACCACTCGATCCTGGAAGCAGGCAGGCGCCGACAGTGGCTTGGAATCTGGGGCTTCAAAAATATTATGGCCGGAGTGCAGTATCCCCAAACAGGGTTTTTAGACCCACTGCGGTTTCCAAGGTCGATTGCGTGCCCGTCCAGTGCGGGCTGGCATGGCATGTTAGAACATGCTTCCTCCTCCTCCTCCTCCTCCTCCTCCTCCTCCACCTCCTCTTCATCCCGAACGGCATCTCGGAGCCCAAAGTTGCGAGGATGTCTCAGGCGAAACGGGCTCGATGTCTCGGGCGAAACGTGCTGCGAGGAAGTCTCAGGCGAAACGGGCCGGACCACCTCGAGCGCGGCGTCTCGGAGCTCCGAGTTGCGGGGGCCTCCTGGGGCCTCCTGGGGCCTCCTGGTGACCTCCTGGGCTTCCTCCTGGGCCTCCTGTGGCCTCCTGAACTCCACCTGGTGTTTCCTGAAGCCTCTTGGGGCTCCCAGGGGGGGATATCTAACCTGTGGCCGTCGGGGCCACAAGAGCAAGAAAGATCAACGAATCGACACCGGAAGTGTATTAACTTGACACGTTCTGATAGGGGGCCTCCTGGGGCCTCCTGGGAGCCTCCTGGGAATCTCCTGCTCCCCCCTGGGGCCTGTCCTGGGCGTCCTGCGGCCTCCTGAAGCTCTCTGGGGCTCCCAGGGTCCCAGGGGGGATATGTAACATGTGGTCTTCTGGGCCCCCAGGCTGGACCACCCCTTGCGCAGCATCTGAGAGCTCAGAGTTGCGAGAATGTCTTGTGCGAAACGGGCCGGACCACCTTGTGCACGGCATCTCAGAGCTCAGAGTTGCGAGGATGTCTCAGGCGAGATGGGCCGGACCACCTCGCGCAGGGCATCTCGGAGCCCAGAGTTGCGAGACTGTCTTGTGCGAAACGGGCTGGACCAACTTGCGCACGGCATCTCAGAGCTCAGAGTTGCAAGGATGTCTCAGGCGAGAAGGGCCGGTGTCTTGGGCGAAACGTGCTGCGAGGAAGTCTCAAGCGAAACGGGCCGGACCACCTCGAGCGCGGCGTCTCGGAGCTCCGAGTTGTGGGGGCCTCCTGGTGTCTCCTGGGGCCTCCTGGTGACCTCCTGGGCTTCCTCCTGGGCCTCCTGTGGCCTCCTGAACTCCACCTGGGGTTTCCTGAAGCCTCTTGGGGCTCCCAGGGAGGATATCTAACCTGTGGGCCATGGGCCCCTCAAAATGGAGGGGGGGGGCACAAGAGCAGGAAAAATCAACGAATCGACACCGGATGTGTACTAACTTGACACGTTCTGATAGGGGGCCTCCTGAGGCCTCCTGGGAGCCTCCTGGGAATCTCTTGGGGACCCCTGGGGCCTGTCGGCGTCTTGCGGCCTCCTGAAGCTCTCTGGGGCCTCCTGGGGCTCCCAGGGTCCCAGGGAGGATATGTAACATGTGGTCTTCTGGGCCCCCAGGCTGGACCACCTCTTGCGCGGCATCTGGGAGCTCAGAGTTGCGAGAATGCCTTGTGCGAAACGGGCCTGACCACCTTGCGCACGGCATCTCAGAGCTCAGATTTGCGAGGATGTCTCAGCCGAGACGGGCCGGACCACCTCGCGCAGGGCATCTAAGAGCTCAGAAGTTCGAGGATGTTTCAGGCGGGCTCCCAGGGTCCCAGGGGGGATATGTAACATGTGGTCTTCTGGGCCCCCAGGCTGGACCACCTCTTGCGCGGCATCTGGGAGCTCAGAGTTGCGAATGTCTTGTGCGAAACAAGCTGGACCACCTTGCGCACGGCATCTCAGAGCTCAGAGTTGCAAGGATGTCTCAGGCGAGACGGGCCGGACCACCTCGCGCATGGCATCTCAGAGCTCAGAGTTTGGAGGATGTCTCGGGCGAAACGGGCCGGACCACCTCGCGCAAGGCATCTCAGAGCTCAGAGTTTCGAGGATGTCTCAAGCGAAACGGCCCGGACCACCTCTCGCGCGGCGTCCCGGATCGCAACTTTTCGAGGATGTCTGAGGCGAAACGGCCAATCCCGGCCAACTCAGAAACGAGAGTTGTGAGGACGTCTCAAGCGAAACGGCCCGGACCATCCAATTTTTGTGAGGATGTCTTTGCTTCGGCTTCCCTCGGCCGGAGTTAGCTTCTATCACAACAGCACCCCGTTCAGCAAGCTGTTACTGGAACTACTTTCAACTACCGACGGGTCATGCTGGGCCCCCGGTGGCGTTCACCTCTGAACGCCCGCGGCGGGTTCGCCGACAGGTCGGCACGACGGGAACTTAATTACCCTACCCCTGCCCTCGCCCTCGCCCTCGCGAGACCTCGGCGGTGGACAAACCTCCCTTTAGTAAACCACCCCTGAGTGAAAACGGCCTAGGACCGAAACCGACGGGCCTGGACCCGCAAAAATGACGGCCGCGACGCCCTCTCGCGAACCGAAAACGGCCAATTCGCTAATCGACGCGTCAGGGTAGGAGGTCGATCCACCCCCGAAGACCACCCCGCGCCGTGGACAGCTCACGACGGACGGCTTCCTGCCGCGGACCCTCGGCCTCGGCGCGGGCCCCCGCCGGGCCCGCAGGACCGCCCGCAGCACGGCCCGGGACAGACCACTGGCCCCATGGGAAGAGGTCCAGACCTCCGGCGGTCCACGTCGCGAAAAAATGATGACCTCTGAATATCGTTTAACCGGTCCCCATCCCCAGCGGCGTGGCCTGGGCCCCACTGGCCGATTTACCCCCCGAGATGGGGATACAGGTCGTTCCCTTCAGGTTTCGAAGGGTGTCTGCCCAATTGGGGCGGTAATTTGGGGGGGGTCTCGAAGGGAATGGGGATGGCGATGGGGATCGGTTACACGATACCGATCCTCGGGAGTCTACAGCCGAAGAGACGATCCGCAGAGCTGTCGGTGCAGAAGTCTG